TACACTACTCACAGTGCTGTGCCCATCACTTAGCTCAGTAGTTTGAGCAACCAAATTGTTCGAGATTATAATATTTTTTTTTTACTGGTAGACGGCACAGACATGTATTATGCCTACTGGTAGACAGCACAGACATGTATTATGCCTACTGGTAGACACCACAGACATGTATTATGCCTTCTGGTAGACAGCACACACATGTATTATGCCTACTGCTAGACAGCACAGACATGTATTATGCCTACTGGTAGACAGTACAGACATGTATTATGCCTACTGGTAGACAGTACAGACATGTATTATGCCTACTGGTAGACAGCACAGACATGTATTATGCCTACTGGTAGACAGCACAGACATGTATTATGCCTACTGGTAGACAGTACAGACATGTATTATGCCTACTGGTAGACAGTACAGACATGTATTATGCCTACTGCTAGACAGCACAGACATGTATTATGCCTACTGGTAGACAGCACACACACGTATTATGCCTACTGGTAGACAGCACAGACATGTATTATGCCTACTGCTAGACAGCACAGACATGTATTATGCCTACTGCTAGACAGCACAGACATGTATTATGCCTACTGGTAGACAGCACACACATGTATTATGCCTACTGGTAGACAGCACAGACATGTATTATGCCTACTGGTAGACAGCACACACATGTATTATGCCTACTGGTAGACAGCACACACATGTATTATGCCTACTGGTAGACAGCACAGACATGTATTATGCCTACTGGTAGACAGCACAGACATGTATTATGCCTACTGGTAGACATCACAGTTTACCATTGCTGACTAAAGGGTCAGCTCTCGATACAGTTGTCGAAACCAACACAGGGTGGTCTGCTGCCAAATCGATCGCATCTGGTTTTGAACCTGCACCTCGAAATGACGAACCTTATTCGCAATGCCTAAGCCACAGAGGCCAACATGTTATGCTTACTTGTGAAAAATAACAGCTTTAAACTCTCTACCCAATGAATTCGCAAAATGAAGTTTACCTTCGACAGGAGAATGTGCATCTCTTGCTCTGCCAGCCGCCGACCTGCAATAGAGATCAAAGATTAGTGGCACATCTCCTCATACTTAGTTCCTGGCGATGATCTAGAACATTGTCTGTGTCGATGACATCTAATCATCGTCAGTCAGAACGTCGCTCTCGTGACCGCACATCTGCATGTCTCCAGTGAGTTCCCCAGCCCTGTCCGCTTTATAGCGAATGCATCTTCAATGTCTTGTATCTAGATTCGCGGAGATCGGTGTCTGCCTCGTGTTCAGGAAACTGTAGCGACCAATCACTGTTCTCTCTGGGCCACCATGAGGTTTAACATGGACCAAATACACCAGTTCTCATTGCAGGATGCTGTTTATGAGCCAATTCTCCTCGAAGAGATCATTGAGGATGTCGACATTCACCTCCCTCTTGATCCACTTTATTCTAAGATCGGTCCAAATAGCATGTCAGTTCAAAAGTTTGATATTTAAATGACTGAGATGTAATGAGTCCGTGATGCCAAATAACCGTATTATGCATTGGCAGGATTGCTTTATGTTAAGGGAAAGAATCACGATATAAACCAGTTCTCAGTGCAATGCTGTTTATGCAAGTGGACCAAACACACCAGTTTTTTTTTTTATTTGTTATTATTGTTCAGCCTTAACATGGCCTGTCTGACAGCTACCATGATTCTCATTGCCCGCTGTTATTAGCCCAGCCAACCTGCTATCAAGAAGACAGTCTATGTGTCTATAATATCAGCTAATCCAATTTAGTTCCTTACTTTGATTCAGAACATGGTCTATGTCAATGATCACATATACATACTTAAATGTAGTTTACCTGCGACCAAAAACAGCTTCGCCTCTTCTCATTGCAAATGCTCTCTGGATCTCTTACTTCTGTTCTCAGCTTGGTTGCTTTTAATAGAGCAAGATGGAAAGACTTACTCATCTTACCATTGAAGGACATTCTGTTGCCATAAGACATGCTCTCTTGTACCAGCTTCACTTGCAGGATGTTTGGTTATGATTCCAACCCTGGACCAAATATCAAAGAGTCTTTAATGCATGATGAGTTTATGCGCTGAATGGACCAATTCCAGTTGCTATAAGACATGCTGTCTTATCGCCACATGGACCCAATACACCAGTTTCTCATTGCAGGATGCTTTTATGGTGCTTCTGTACACCAATTGCAGGATGCTGTTTATGAGCATCATGGTACCTGATAACCAGTTCATTGCAGGATGCTATTTCTGAGCCACATGGACCTAAATACTCTTGTATCATTGCCTTGCTGCTTGGTTGCCAACATGGACCAAGCACAAGACCTCATTGCAGGATGCTGTTTTATGTCAACATGGACCAATCACACAGTTCTCATTGCAGGATGCTGTTTTATGAGCACATTCTGGTGACTAGTTACATGTTCTACAGCAGTACTCTCCGACCTTTATTACGTGATGCCTCCTTTGAGTTAATGGGAGCCTCCACTCACCTTCCCAAAGTCGTGACCCAAAACCGTAAGTAACATGGGATCAAAATAGAGGTAATGTGTAAAACTCAATTGCAATAATCTACATGGCACTTTTATGTGTTATCATGGTAATTAGATTTTGTTCTGACAACCCATTGCGTTTAGATGTACATCAACAGTCATGTGTCAAGAAACGATGCTGCAATCCAATCCTTTCCTTACTTGTTTTCAGAAATTTATGAGCCAACATTGAAAACATTACTATAATTAGAATGGGGAAAAAAAAAAAATACTCCACAAATGTCTTATTTATAATTAGAATGGTTTGCTTCTGTCCCAAAAAAATACTGTCTTATTTGATTTAATTATGTTGCTAGAACACATGTCTGGTGACTAGTTAATGTTTATACAGCAGTACTCCCTCCGACCTTTATAATGATGCTCCTTTGAGCCAATTTATTGGGAATACACAGCCGCATAAATGGGGAGAAAAAACCAGTCTTATTTAAATAATAACATGGGAAAAAAAACAACATGTTTGTATGTGCCAACATCCTATAATTACAAGACATGGATGCAGTTTATTAGATGTCTTATTTTCACGAATTACACAATGCTCATGAAAGGAAAAAAAAAAAACGTCTTATTGTATAAAAACATTTATAATTAGAATGGGAAAGAAAAAAAACATGCCTTATTTATAATTAGAATGGGGAAAAAAAACTTTCTTATTTTAAAAAAAACATGTCTTATTTATAATTAGAATGGGGAGAAAAAAACATGTCTTATTTATAATTAGAATGGGAAAGAAAAAAAAATGTCTTATTTATAATTAGAATGGGAAAGGGGAAAAAAACATGTCTTATTTATAATTAGAATGGGGGAGAAAAAAATATGTCTTATTTATAATTAGAATGGGAAAGAAAAAAACATGTCTTATTTATAATTAGAATGGGAAAGGAAAAACACATGTCTTATTTATAATTAGAATGGGAAAGGAAAAAAACATGTCTTATTTATAATTAGAATGGGGAAGAAAAAACATGTCTTATTTATAATTAGAATGGGGAAGGAAAAAAACATGTCTTATTTATAATTAGAATGGGGAAAGAAAAAAAACATGTCTTATTTATAATTAGAATGGGAAAGAAAAAAAACATGTCTTATTTATAATTAGAATGGGGAAGAACAAACATGTCGTATTTATAATTAGAATGGGGAAGAAAAAAACATGTCTTATTTATAATTAGAATGGGGAAGAACAAACATGTATTTATAATTAGAATGGGGAAAGAAAAAAAGCATGTTAGTATAAAGAATAATTACAAATGTCCTTATTTTAAAAATTGCTTGACGCAACTTGAAACCCCCCCCCCCCGCCCCACCCCACCCCAACCCCTCCCGCTGCCACCACCACTACTATTATTCTAAAGTATTGGACACGAAGCCTCCTTGTGTCACAGTATAACTGGTAGTTTCTCGAGTTGCTATTGTATGTCACCTTCAGGAAGCTGCTATCACAAAGGCCGCTGTTTCTTTCTCATTGACCTCTTCATTCTGTCTGGCCTCAAGTATCTCACATAAATGCAAACAAGTAAACGGTAGCAACAAGCAACTTGTCAGAAATATCGAGTGTCGCCTTAGAAGGTCAAGCCAAGTGGACAGAAACAAGCAAACTAGGAGAGCATAAAGTGCTCTAGCACATTCTGTTTGCAGGGGCGATCAACCAGCAAAGTGTAGAATTTTGTATTGACGTCAGACAGTAAACAATGATAATGAAAAATTGAGGATGATGATGATTCTGCTGATGATGATGATGCTGCTGATGATGATGATGCTGATGATGATGATGACGATGATGCCGACAATGATGATGATGCTGATGATGATGCTGACGATGATGATAATACTGATGATGATGATGATGATGATGATGATGATGCTGATGATGATGCTGACGATGATGATGATACTGATGATGATGCTGATGATGATGATGATGATGCTGATGCTGATGATGATGATGATGATGCTGTTGATGCTGATGATGCTGATGATGATGATGCTGATGATCCTGCTGACGATGATGATGATGCTGATGATGATGCTGATGATGATGATGATGATGCTGACGATGACGATGATGGTGATGATGATGATGATGATGATGATGATGATGAAGATGATGATGATGGTGAGGATGATGATGATTACGATGATGATGATGCTGATGATGATGATGCTGATGATGATGCTGATGATGATAATGCTGATGATGATGATGATGATGCTGATGATGATGCTGATGATGATGATGCTGATGATGATGCTGACGATGATGATGATGTTGATGATGATGCTGATGATGATGCTGACGATGATGATGATGTTGATGATGATGATGGTGCTGACGATGATGATGATGCTGATGATGATGCTGATGATGATGATGATTACGATGATGCTGACGATGATGATGGTGATGACGATGATGCAGCTACCTAGACACATGCGAGCACCATGTCCCCACACGAGCTGGGATATGGACTTGACTGTGGAGTCCATGTTGTCCTTGCCATCTCTCAACCAGCGCTCCGGAAGGAATTGCTCAGGACGATCAAACAGTTCCGGGTCATGGTACATGCCGTAGAGGTTAGCTTGTACGTGTGTCTGCAGATAGTCCAGTTGTCGTGTCAGAAATATATTACATCAAGTTCGTTCTGTGATTGGACCACCACTTTTTAAGAACTAAATAAATTAACACTCTCTCCTCAAATATCGCATTATTTTACAGAATCACTTAACGTGACGTAAGTTGGGTTGAAGAAATATGAGGCACATCTTCAATCCAACTTACTTGTCTGGGAGGAAGAAGTCGAGAAGAGAAAAATGACTATCAGTATGTCCACACTAAAACAATGGTGATCTCGAGAGAGGAGAAGAAAGACCTGATTATGATGGGACAGTATGCACTAGAGCAGGGCAGCTAGTTCATATAACCTAGAGTTAAACAAACCAGAATGGAGGCACTAAGGCAGAGCTGGCTACACAAAAAGCTGCTGCTGGGAGACCTTTGCAGGCCGTAAATCGAGGGTTTCTTAGCACAAGAGAAATAAGCAAGAGGACGAAAATGGCAGATTACCGCTCTACCTATGTGCCAGTCGTGATCCACGGGTGTGAGTCATGGGCAATGGCAACAGCTCACAGAAAGTCAGCTTTAGGCTTCAGTAATGAGAAATCTGAACAAAAAAAAAGCGCTTCAAGTGACAAGAAGGGACAAAGTGAGCAACTAGACAAAAGGTAATCATTTTGAAATCCAGTGGATCAGTCACAAATGCGATGGTTTGAACATGTATGCAGAACTGGAGAGAATTGGCCCCCACGGTAGGCATGGGAGGCTAGGAACCAGGGAACCAGACCTCCAGGACGACCCAGGGTGCGCTGTGAAGACAACATCCAACGGGGAGGACAGAAAGCATCGAGTCAAGAACCATTTGATGAAAGTAACAAACGGTCCAGCAAAACATAAGAAACAGCGGCGGTCACAGCTGGAGGTGTTGGGACCAACAAACGAACTTCATTTTCACAGGGTCACAAACTGGGCACGCCGACCCGTCTTACATTCGGCCCTTACAAGCACCCGTCTTTCACACAGCAGTTGTATTTTTAAATAAAGCATGTTATATTCATATGATAGTATGCATATTGTGAATATCAAGTTAAAAAAAAAAAAAAGCATGGGTGGTGAAATGCATGCACACAGTAACGCAAGTGTACACACACACATACTCACATACACGCGCCCACCCATTAACTTAAACACACACATACATTCACACATACCTACATATATACATACAAACACACACATTCCACAAACATACATACATACAGCTATACCCACAGAAAAACAAGCAGACACACACACACATACGCACAGACACAAACACAGACACAGAAACACACACACTGACATCCACACAAAGAGCTACACACAGACATACACACACACAGACACACATACACGTAGACACACAAACCCGCATGCACACAGACACACGCAAACACACATACAGACACACATACACAAACAAACATAGATACACACACACAACCCACAGGCACACCCGCAGGCGCGCACACACACACACGCAGAAATAATTGAAGATGCCCGGAGACACTAAAACATGTGTGCTATTATATATAACAGGTTCAGGCTGTGCTGTGATTACTGTTGAGGTTACATGTTGGTGTTTTCTTTTATCTTATTGTCTCCCTCAAAGCACGTCCAAAAGATTGCAACAGACAATACAGTATTCTGTAGCACTGACGACAATCCCAGTTAGTGCGTACATGAATAACGCTTTTCTTTTCAATCCTAATAATGTTTTGACTTTTTGTTAGCTTCAAACATTGTTAAATGCCGAGCTAAGGAACGAACGAACTTTATTTCCAAAGGGTCCTAGATCGTGCTTGCAGCCCCGTTCTTACACGAGGTCCTTTCAAAGACTCGTCATCCAAACGGCAAATGTATTGTTTATGTCATTAATATATCCAGCCTCCTAGTATAAACAGTATGCGAACAGTCAGATGACCAAATGGAGGAAATACGACACGAGCCCAGCTCTGTCTGTTACAAAACATACATATTGGTAAAGACTGTACTGGTGATGAGGCGATAATATTCCTGATATGAAGGTGGGTAACAGTTCAGAAGGTTTTAAAGTCAAGACGATCGACTTCGCTGCATCGGGTTTTAGCCCATATGACTCGGTCTCTCTCCGCAGAACGGCTAGCAGCATGTCGTGAGCATTGCACATACCACGAAATCCATAGCTCCGGCGACCATTCCCAGGGATCTACGTAGAAATTGCACTCGTGAACTGAAGAGCCCAGCCGTGAAGCGAACCCAAGACTTTCAGAGCGCGAGGCAAAGGCTTGACCTCTTCGCCCCGGGAATGAAGCTGGTAGTTAAAATGTAGGTACTGGTGATAATGTTTACAGTAAATATTTTAGCAACCAATGTGGCCCTAAAGAAAACACTAAATGTCCTAAAGGTCACTCAAGGACTTACCCCAGCTGGTATATTGTAGCCGCCGATCTCCAGCTCACTGGCCAGGTTTCGGCTGGTCGAGTAGACGATCGGGTAGAGTCGAAGAGTTTCTTTGACAACGGCCTTGACATAAGGTAGTTTACTGAGTTGCTCAGCAGAGAGACTTCCGTTGTTGTCGGCTCTAGCTCGTGCCATTTCCTGGTAAAGTACTTCCTGCACCTCTGGGTGTTTGGCCAGGTTGTACAGGCACCACGTCGTGGCTGTCGATGTCTGCGTGCCGACAGTAAAATAGATAGTCAAAACAAACATAATTTTTTTATTGTTAATTCAAACATATCCTGAATAAACCAGGTGAGTTGTGTATCGTTTAGAAAGTGGGTATCTCTAGACTACTCTCAAACAAGCACGATAAACTAGAAAGTGGGTATCTCTAGTCTGCTCTCAGACAAGCACCATAAACTAGGAAGTGGGTATATCTAGACTACTCTCAAACAAGCACGATAAAATAGAAAGTGGGTATCTCTAGTCTACTCTCAAACAAGCACGATAAACTAGAAAGTGGGTATCTCTAGTCTACTCTCAGACAAGCACCATAAACTAGGAAGTGGGTATCTCTAGACTACTCTCAAACAAGCACGATAAACTAGAAAGTGGGTATCTCTAGTCTACTCTCAAACAAGCACGATAAACTAGAAAGTGGGTATCTCTAGTCTACTCTCAGACAAGCACCATAAACTAGGAAGTGGGTTTCTCTAGACTACTCTCAAACAAGTACGATAAACTAGAAAGTGGGTATCTCTAGTCTACTCTCAAACAAGCACGATAAACTAGAAAGTGGGTATCTCTAGTCTACTCTCAAACAAGCACGATAAACTAGAAAATGGGTATCTCTAGTCTACTCTCAGACAAGCACGATAAACTAGAAAGTGGGTATCTCTAGTCTACTCTCAGACAAGCACCATAAACTAGGAAGTGGGTATCTCTAGACTACTCAGACAAGCACTATAAACTAGGAAGTGGGTATCTCTAGACTACTCAGACAAGCACTATAAACTAGGAAGTGGGTATCTCTAGTCTACTCTCAGACAAGCATCATAAACTAGGAAGTGGGTATCTCTAGACTACTCAGACAAGTACCATAAACTAGGAAGTAGGTATCTCTAGACTACTCAGACAAGCACCATAAACTAGGAAGTGGGTATCTCTAACCTGCTCAGACAAGCACCATAAACTAGGAAGTGGGTATCTCTAACCTACTCAGACAAGCACCATAAACTAGGAAGTGGGTATCTCTAACCTGCTCAGACAAGCACCATAAACTAGGAAGTGGGTATCTCTAGCCTACTCAGACAAGCACTATAAACTAGGAAGTGGGTATCTCTAGTCTACTCTCAGACAAGCACTATAAACTAGGAAGTGGGTATCTCTAGACTACTCAGACAAGCACTATAAACTAGGAAGTGGGTATCTCTAGACTACTCAGACAAGCACCATAAACTAGGAAGTGGGTATCTCTAGCCTACTCAGACAAGCACTATAAACTAGGAAGTGGGTATCTCTAACGTACTCAGACAAGCACAATCAACTAGGAAGTGCTAATGTACCCAATTGACATCTCTGCTCTGGTAACAATAATACATAAAGGCCAAATGTACCGGTGCCCATGGCTATTTCAAATGTAAACAGCCGTTCAGTAAATAGAAAGATTCTCAGAAAACCACGGGCAAAGAATCAAAGAAATACCGACATTCTAACAGATCTGACCCTCAGGGGAGTTTGGCTTATAAACCTATTTTCTCAGAAACTGAATATTTAGGCCATATTAGGCACCACTATGGTAAATAAAAAATAATAGCAGAAGGCATGGTACCAGGAAGGAGGGGCAGGGGCAGACCAGCACAAAGACTGGCACAGGATGTAAGTGACTCTTTGGGTCTGAAAGTGCACGAGGCGGGAGAGCTGGTGAGAGATCGAGTTTCTTTCAGGCAGACCCTGATGAGAGCGACGTTCTGCAAAAAGACCTGCCACATGATGATGCTGAGTAAATAATATGTATGCAGTTCATGTGTAGCTGAATCCTGGCGTGCATTACCGGGTTCCTGCACTGTGCTGATTCTCCCTCTGTGTTTTGTGGCTGGGGACTCTCGGTACGTGTGGTGATCTGTGTGTGCGTAATGGAAAACATCCTTCAAGGAGAAAACAAGAAAGATGGAGCAGAAGACAGAGATGATTTCAGCAGTTGGTATCGGAGACAGAGACAGAGATTTGAACTTACCGTTTCCACTGCTGCAGTCAAGAGATCAACCACAAGTCCCGTGATCTCCTTGCTGCTCATGGTTCCTTGTTTCACCAGGTAGGAGAGGAAGGCAGACTGCTCACTTCCGTCCTCGAGTGCTGCCATTTTCTGCAAGCAAAGAGTCCAGACAGCAACGATCACATGATGGTTTCTTCAACAGTTAGGAGGACGTGGCGGAGGGGGTTGGGAAGGGGTGGCTGAGACTGTGTCTCATGGACTAGAGAATCGTCTAGGGAACTAGTGGAAGCCTTAGATTCATCGTCTTTGTCAACGTAATCATCATCACCATCATGTGTTTATTGCCCACACAGACGGGGCTGTGGGGAACATCCTTCTAGATCAGGGGATAGATGTAACAGCTACTGGATGGTCAGCAGGGAACTGACCTGTTTAAACTGATATCTCGATGTGACTCCTTAAAGATATGGTCCGGTTAGGGGGGGGGGGGGGGGCAATTCGACACGAAATCATGTTGTAAAGGTAGCTGTGTAGCAGCTGAAGCAGTTGTATTTGTTGTAGACGTACTTGGATTTTTTTTTTATTATTATACAAATAAGAATAGCATCAGCAGCAGTAGAAGTTGGTTGTTGTTGCAGTAGCAGCATGGGGAGGAGGAGCAGTAGTTGTAGCAGCAACAGCATTGGCAGTAGTAGTAGCAGCAGCGTCAGCAGCAGTAGAAGTTGTTGTTGTTGCAGTAGCAGCATGGGGAGGAGCAGCAGTAGTTGTAGCAGCAACAGCATTGGCAGTAGTAGTAGCAGCAGCATCAGCATCAGCAGCAGTAGAAGTTGTTGTTGTTGCAGTAGCAGCATGGGGAGGAGCAGCAGTAGTTGTAGCAGCAACAGCATTGGCAGTAGTAGTAGCAGCAGCATCAGCAGCAGTAGAAGTTGTTGTTGTTGCAGTAGCAGCATGGGGAGGAGCAGCAGTAGTTGTAGCAGCAACAGCATTGGCAGTAGTAGTAGCAGCAGCATCAGCAGCAGTAGAAGTTGGTTGTTGTTGCAGTAGCAGCATGGGGAGGAGCAGCAGTAGTTGTAGCAGCAACAGCATTGGCAGTAGTAGTAGCAGCAGCATCAGCAGCAGCGGCGTTGCAGTAATTGTAAATTTGTAGAAGTAGTAATATTAGCAGTATCAACCGCAGTAAGCAGAAATAAGAAATCAATTCATGGGATGTACAAACAAACAGTGGCACAGGGTGAGTGACTGAGACATTCACAGCTGGTGTGGAGCTCTTCTCGTGAAAAAGGAACCAAGAGAAAATAACCGATTGTGAAGACTGACCTTCTCCACAAGGCTGCGCCCAATGTCCATGATGTTGTCCGTGTAGTGCTCGAATTGCTTCCAGGTCTCAGTCTCCCATACGTGGTAGATGGGCAGGTTGTACATCAGCGGCTGCAGCGTTCGGAAGAACCCCTCCAGGTTGTCGATGAATGACTGCGCCATCGATGTAGGTCGTTTCCCCAGGCAACCAATGCGCTCTTCAAAAATAAACGTGCCTATAGCTGGAAGATATTTTAACAAATGTTAACATTGTAAAACACAAAGCAAATAGTAATGTTTACTTATTGTTTTACCTTGTTAACTTACTGATTTTACTATTGCTGCTACTTCTGCTATTACTACTACTACCGCTACTACTATTACTGCTACTACTATTACTTCTAGTACTATTACTACCAGTAGTGCCACTACTACTTATATTGATGCTGCAGCTACTACTACTATTTCTTTTCTTCCTCCTTCTTCTTTAACCCCCCCCCCCCCCCCCCTTCCGTGCCATCTTTTGCTCGTTGACACTGTGATATCTACCCAAGGATTTCGGGAATAGATGTTTTCAGTTGATGAGATCAGCGGTCTGCTTTACAGGGCCTACAAGCAATATACTGAAGCGCCCTCTGTGTAAGTGGCACGCAAGTTAGATCAGACAGGCACAAGGTGGAACAGACATTTGTGGGGACAGACACTGCTGGGTAGGACAGGTACTAGATGGGACAGACACTGCTGGGTAGGACAGGTACTAGATGGGACAGACACTGCTGGGTAGGACAGGTACAAGATGGGACAGACACTGCTAGGTAGGACAGGTACAAGATGGGACAGACACTGCTGGGTAGGACAGGTACTAGATGAGACAGACACTGCTGGGTAGGACAGGTACTAGATGGGACAGACACTGCTGGGTAGGACAGGTACTAGATGGGACAGACACTGCTGGGTAGGACAGGTACTAGATGGGACAGACAGCTGGGTAGGACAGGTACTAGCTGGGTAGGACAGGGGTAGGAGAGGTACAAGATGGGACAGACACTGCTGGGTAGGACAGGTACTAGATGAGGACAGACACTGCTGGGTAGGACAGGTACAAGATGGGACAGACACTGGTAGGAAAGATACTACATGGGACAGACACTGCTAGTAGGACAGGTACTAGATGGGACAGACACTGCTGGGTAGGACAGGTACAAGATCGGACAGACACTGCTAGATAGGACAGGTACAAGATGGGACAGACACTGCTGGGTAGGACAGGTACTAGATGAGGACAGACTAATGGTACTGGGTAGGACAGGTAGGACAGGTACTAGATGAGACAGACACTGCTGGGTAGGACAGGTACTAGATGAGACAGACACTGCTGGGTAGGACAGGTACAAGATGGGGCAGACACTGCTGGGTAGGACAGGTACAAGATGGGGCAGACAATGCTGGGTAGGACAGGTACAAGATGGGGCAGACAACTGGTAACTGGTCCACACCCCGCACCCCCCCCCCTTCCACCATCGACCCCTAGCAAACAAAATCAATTAAATTTACATGACCAGTTATTGCTGACACAGTTCCGTCTGGCCAATAACACTATTAGATTGTGTAGTGGCGCCGCAGGTGAATCAGTCAATAGCAATGGCGTGTGCCAATTGCAAAACCAGTTTCCACACAAACAGACAAAAAGTCTGAAGGATTTCATGATATAACAGTGAAGTACGGCCTACCCCAAATAAATGACGCAATCAGTATTGTTAAATCAAACAAGCAAGTGCATCTCGATTAAAGTACAGGTAGGCATGTGATCAACGGTCCTATCCCGTTTAATATACGTATTTCCGGTCTCTGCTATGAATGTCAACGAAAAGAAAAGTGATTAAGTAATTAGACAAACGTGCAAACAAACAAACAGGTACGTGCACTAACATTCCATTGCCCATTTGAATAGTTCCTTCCCCAGCTCTGGCACTTCTCCTTGGGCGTCCTTGACATCCGAAAGTCGAGTTACGAAATCGTCTGCAACTTCCCCCATCTCTGTAGTGAAACTGGACACCTCAGCTAGTTTCAACATCTTTTTGCTGACCACCGACCTTTGCTTGTACCACTCCTCCCCTTGGCTGAAACGGCAATGTATTGTTTATGAAATAATTCTTTGTTCTAAACGATTTCTCTAAGAGAACTTAGATACTGCAAATAGTCTCATTGACTGAAACATAAATTTATATGTCTGAAATAATTCTCTAATCTAAATTGTTTCTCTGACAGAGCGTTGATTCTGTGAATACTCTGCTGACAGAGCGTTGATTCTGTGGATACTCTGCTGACAGAGCATAGATTTTGTGAATAACTTGCTGACAGAGCATAGATTTTGTAAATACTCTGCTGACAGAGCGTTGATTCTGTGGATACTCTGCTGACATAGCGTTGATTCTGTGGATACTCTGCTGACAGAGCGTTGATTCTGTGGATACTCTGCTGACAGAGCGTTGATTCTGTGGATACTCTGCTGACAGAGCGTTGATTCTGTGAATACTCTGCTGACAGAGCGTTGATTCTGTGGATACTCTGCTGACAGAGCGTTGATTCTGTGAATACTCTGCTGACAGAGCGTTGATTCTGTGAATACTCTGCTGACAGAGCGTTGATTCTGTGGATACTCTGCTTTCTGAACAGAAATGTTTCTGAATTATGCACTGCCGGGTCAGAGCAGGTTGAACATATTTCATCCCGAGGTTCAGAGAGAAGGGCCAGACTTTCTTCTTTTCCTTAGCATTTGTTGGCTGTCAGACTTGGCGGAAAGTCCTGGTTGTTCGTTCCCTTCTGGACTTTGGTCTTGTTATAGGACAAAGTTTTGCGTGGACATCCGTCTGGCTCAGTCTCTCTGTATCCCGGTCAGAGTTTGAAACAGGAAAAGTCCGTTTTTGGCCTTGGACAATTAGCAAGTTTAGCCCTGGGACGAGTCACAGTGTGGCATGGGACAAGTGAGAGTTTGGTATGGGACAAGTCAGAGTTTCGGAGGAGCGGTTTATGACTAGGAAACTGGGGGAATTAGAAAAGTCATAGCACGCTCCTCTGATTAGGGGGCAAAAGTTGCTCTTTCATCACAGCGCAAGAACTCAAGACACCTATAAGGAACCAGAGCATACCATTTTCTAGCACGTATTCTAGGAATGGAGTCGGCTGGTGAGAAATGTCTTTGCAGAGCGATTGTTGCATGTTGGGCTAGTGGCACTCACGTAAATACCTGATGAACCTTTCTTGTTTGTGTAAGAGATATTACACAATATTTTAATTTGCGAGGTCATGTTGACAATAAAAAGTGATGACACGGTCTTACTTTAAAAATTTATAAGCATCATTTTGCACATTAATTTACTGATTATCTTGTTAAATTGTACATTGGTGAACAATGTCGTTCTTAACCTCACAAACAACATGTATGATAAAGTACCTTTAAAGGCACTCTAACGAAAATATGAAGTTGAGCAATGAGAGACACGGAGGTTGAAACACACTTAGATTTACACTGGTGAACACCTTGAGAGACTTACATGCGAACTCAAGCCAGCACATTAACAAACACACAGAAGGACGGGAGAGACACACAGAGAGACTTACATGCGAGCTCAAGCAAGCACACTAACAAACACACAGAAGGACATGAGAGACACAGAGAGACTTACATGCGAACTCAAGCAAGCACACTAACAAACACACAGAGAAACTTACGAGTTGACGATGCCCAAATCGAAGCCTTTCTTCTTGCGGTAGTGAACTATCGGCATCATTTCCCGCCTGTTGGGGAACTTCCCTTCGGCGTGCACCAGACGATTGTATTCCCTGGGGTTGCTGACGACCACACTGTGAAAAGCCCCGATCTTCTCGTAGTAAATATCGCCGAACTCTTGAGCTCGTTGTTGGAACACCTGCCCGCGGCAAACACAAATGTTCTGTTACAAGCTGCACATGGCGTCATTTTTTTTTTTTTTAATTGACAGAAATATGTTAAAATATCTCTTGGACAGACGCAATGATTCACGATAAAACTAAGGACATGAAAAAGAAACATTCAACAGGCGCCTATCTTCCTTTCAGGCCTAACTTCCATGTCTGCCTCCATGAATTGTTTCACCCTCGTTTGAAACAGAAACTGTTGTCACATAAGACAATCTCATCGATTCTTGTATTGTTTGCTCGGCACTGCAGCGGTTTTTCCCATTTATATGCTGCGTGATCACGTCATTGTACGCAGGGGATCACTATATTTGCACAGTCCTCAGACGCAGCAGCTATTTCAAAGTACCTCTATAAAATGTATCATCATCATCAGCATCGTGATCAGAATAATCGCTGTCTGGTAATTCGTCCTTCCTTTTGTTTTTCATTCTTTTTCTGTTGATTAAACCTATCTGTGATCTCAGCATTGTTCCATAGTGGTGAAGCTTGTTCAGTTTTCTTACACAAGGAGAAACAGCTCCAAACAGTTTTTCACATGCCAGATTTCTACGGAATCAAACAACTTTGGCACTGGGTGGCAGTGTACAATCTTCAGAGGCCCAGATGGCCAGAACACTCTTGGAGGATGGAGGAGGGTAGACTCTCTGAGAACATCCTCTATGGTTAACTGAAGATGGGAAGAAGACGTCGGCCGGTCTCTGCTACGATATATACATGTGTGCAAGTGGTACATGAATGATACAGGTATTGAGACGGATTCAATGAGTTTGAGCACCCAGCTTGAGGTGTCCATGTAAGTAGCCCGATTGTTCAACACGGCCTTCAGGGTGTCTGATGTTGTGTAGTAGCCCGATTGTTCAACACGGCCTTCAGGGTGTCTGCTGTTGTGTGCTGGTTGTGCTATATTTGTGACATCTGTGCAATAACGTGTCTTGTTTTGTCTAACCACATGACTAGTTTCATAATTTCAAATATTTCTGGATTTTGACTCAGCAATCGTCCTACATCTGTCGAGCAGGTGGCGGACGCCTTCTCGTGTCCCATAAAGCATTTCGTTCAGTTATGAAAGGAAATTCCCTATCAGTTTTCCAGATTTCAGTCAGTGACAACAACAATTATGATCAGTTTTCCAGATTTCAGCCGTTGATAACAACAACCATGATCAGTTTTCTAGATTTCAGTCATGGACAACAACAAACATGATCATGTCAGAAGACTACAAACGGATAACTTTTGAAGCGTACTTACTTTGAACATCTGAGAGAACTTCAGCCCGTCCTTCTTCATGTAATCAAACAGGGTCCCAACCACCGGCAGCCCCTTAGGCCCAGGTATTTTCTCGAAGGCTTGAACCTTGCTCTGCTGGGCTGTCTCTGAGGCAGCACTTTTCCTAAACGGGCACTGCTGCGGACGACAGAAATCAAGTCTTGGGTTCATTCGGAAATTCTAACAGCCATATATTGAGATACAGACGTAGACAGCAGAACATAAACATAATGTTGATGCTTTTGCTGCTACTACTCCTGCTGTTGCTGTTGCTACTGCAACTGCTCCTCCTGCTGGTGCTACTGCAACTACTACTCCTGCTGGTGCTACTGCAACTACTACTCCTGGTGGTGCTACTGCAACTACTACTCCTACTGTTGCTACTGCAACTACTACTCCTGCTGATGCTACTGCTACTACTACTCCTGCTGTTGCTACTGCTACTACTCCTGCTGTAACTACTGCAACTACTACTCCTGCTGGTGCTACCGCAACTACTACTCCTGGTGATGCTACCGCAACTACTACTCCTGCTGTAACTACTGCAACTACTACTCCTGCTGGTGCTACTGCAACTACTACTCCTGCTGGTGCTACCGCAACTACTACTCCTGGTGATGCTACCGCAACTACTACTCCTGCTGTAGCTACTGCAACTACTACTCCTGCTGTTGCTACTGCTACTACTCCTGCTGTAACTACTGCAACTACTACTCCTGCTGTAACTACTGCAACTACTACTCCTGCTGTAACTACTGCAACTACTACTCCTGCTGTAACTACTGCAACTACTACTCCTGCTGTAACTACTGCAACTACTACTCCTGCTGTAACTACTACTCCTGCTGTAACTACTGCAACTACTACTCCTGCTGTAACTACTGCAACTACTACTCCTGCTGTAACTACTGCAACTACTACTCCTGCTGTAGCTACCGCAACAACTACTCCTGCTGTAACTACTGCAACTACTACTCCTGCTGTAGCTACCGCAACAACTACTCCTGCTGTAGCTTCTAACCTGTCCACTACTAACCTAAAAGCACAAATCCTGGCTTAAAAAGTCTACAAAAAGCGCATTGTGATCTCAGTGGAAGCACCATAATACGTCAAACAATAATTGTGATCTCAGTGGAAGCAGCATAATACGTCAAACAATACCTTGTGATCTCAGTGGAAGCACCATAATACGTCAAACAATACTTTGTAATATCAATGGAAGCACCATAATACGGCAAACAATACCTTGTAATATCAGTGGAATCACCATAATACGGCAAACAATACCTTGTAATATCAGTGGAAGCACCATAATACGGCAAACAATACCTTGTAATATCAGTGGAAGCACCATAATACGGCAAACAATACCTTGTAATTTCAGTGGAAGCACCATAACAATAGCTTTCATCCACAGTGATTGTCTGCGCAGACTGGAGGGAATTAAATGGTATGATAGAATCACTCATTTAGAGCCTCTAAAGAGGACTTTACAAGAGGACTTTACAAGTGGACTTTACAAGAGGACTTTACAAGAGGACTTTTGAAGTGGACTTTACAAGAGGACTTTACAAGAAGACTTTACAAGAGGACTTTACAAGTGGACTTTACAAGTGGACTTTACAAGAGGACTTTACAAGAGGACTTTACAAGTGGACTTTACAAGAGGACTTTACAAGTGGACTTTACAAGAGGACTTTACAAGAGGACTTTACAAGTGGACCAAGAGGGGAATAAAAGACGCTGGCGTTGGATAGGACACACATTGAAAAAAAATTCCAAAAAAAAAAAACTAGAAGGTCTTTGCCTTGGAGCTCACAGGGGTAAAGAAATAAAGCAAGACACACAAAACTCATGAAGAATTGAGCTAGAGAGAGAAGTTAAAATATGGGGAGGACGCGGGGAAAGTGCATGTGATAGCGAAGGATGGAACGTCTTGGCGCAAGCTGGTTGCGGACCTATGCTCCATTGGGTATTAGAAAGGCAGAAGAAGATGAAAAGCCACTTTTGTCAAGGCGATTGTTGTTCCAATTTCTGCAGGGCATCTGGCATAAGATGTTATGGTTGTTCCTAAATAGTTGTATCTATTACTTTGCTGAAGAATGTTGCCATTGGCATGAATGTCGTAGAGTATGTTACTTTGTCTAGTTATTGATGACCATAAGTTACTTCTAGGGCAGCCTATAGAACAATGATTGATGTAGCAGGACACGTGACCGTCACGAGTGAACCTACACTTCTCTGTGTAGTCCAGTGTGGGTGATTAAATAGCTATAGAACATCATGAAGATGATGTTTATAAATTGGGCAATATATTTAAATTGTGGTCATAATAATATATTACACCAATATGTTGTGTGTGTATGCGGGTGTTTGTGTATGTGTGTGTTTGTATGTGTGTTTGTGCGTGTGTGTGTTTGTGTGTGTGTATTTGTGTGCACGATGTTGTGTATGCACATTCAATGTTGTGTGTGTGTGCGTTTGTGTGCGCGCGTGTGTGTTTTTGTGTGTTTGTATGTGTGTATTTGTGTGTCTGTATTTGTGTGTGTTTGTGTGTGTGTGTGTATTTATGTGCACGATGTTGTGTAAGCACATTCAATGTTGTGTGGGTGTGTTTGTGTGTGTGTGTTTGTGTGTGTATTTGTGTGTGTTTGTGTGTGTTTGTACGTGTGTATTTGTGTGTGTATTTATGTGTGTTTTCCCTGTGTGGGTTCCGGGGCCCTACTATGGGAAAAACAAGAATAGACCCACTGCCTACCCAGAAGCATGTCGTAAGAGTCGACTAATTGAGAGCTTCCTTCGAAGTCGGAGTGCATCTGCCTGAGAGGCATGGAACCAATAGTCTGCATACAGATCTGTCAAACTGATGCACACGCAACACTCAGGTTCTGAAACAGGACTGCAGTCCAGAAGTGGACGAACAACCAGAACTTTCCACAGGAGTTTACAGCTGGTGAAGGCGAAGAAGAAGAAGAAGATGTGTGTTTGAGTGTGATTGTGTGTGTGTGTTCGTGTGCGTACTTATGTGCACGATGTTGTGTATGCACATTCAATGTTGTGTGTGTGTGTTTGTGTGTGTTTGTGTGTATGTGTGTTTGTGTGTGTGTTTGTGTAAGTATGTTTGTGTGTGTTTGTGTGTGTGTATTTATGTGCACGATGTTGTGTATGCACATTCAATGTTGTGTATGTGTATTTGTGTGTGTGTGTGTTTGTGTGCGTATTTATGTGCACGATGTTGTGTATGCACATTAAATGTTGTGTGTTTGTGCGTGTTTGTGTGTGTGTGTTTGTGTGTGCGTGTTTGCGTGTATGTGTGTGTTTGTGTGTGTGTGTTTGTGTGTGTGCGTTTGTGTGTGTTTGTATTTGTGTGTGTGTTTGTGTGTGTGTGTGTGTGTGTTTGTGTGCACGATGTTGTGTATGTATATTCAATGTTGTGTGTGTGTCTGTATTTGTGTGCAAGATGTTGTGTAAGTACAGTCAATGTTGTGTGTGTGTTTTTTTTTTGTGTGTGTGTTTGTGTGTGTGTGTTTGTGTGCACGATGTTGTATATGCACATTCAATGTTGTGTGTGTTTGTGTGTGTGTGTTTGTGTGTGTGTGTGTTTGTGTACACGATGTTGTGTAAGCACATTCATTGTTGTGTGCGCATGTGTGTTTGTGTGTGTGTGTGTTTGTGTGTGTATGTGTGTGTTTGTGTGTGTGTGTGTGTTTGTGTGTGTGTGTGCAAGATGTTGTGTAAGCACATTCAATGTTGTGTGTGTGTTTGTGTGTGCAAGATGTTGTGTAAGCACATTTATAGTAAGTGAGGTACCTGTACAGCTGGCATGTCCAGACTCAGAGTTGTCAGCCCTTGTTCGCTTCTGGCGGAAGTGGAGACAACCCGTGACGTCACTGTGCTGGGTTTCACCATCTGCACTGTCATGTTAATGATTTTCTTTGTAGCGGCCATCTTGTTTTGTTCTCTGTGGAGAAGATATAAAATCAAACTAAAAGTAGATTTACGAGTTTCAAAACAGTGTAACAAAATACAAACGGAATAAACGTTGCGGCAACCAAGCCTTCGTCATCACATTACATAAATCAACAAAACCAAATGTACAGACACGAATGCACGAAATTACCTAAGTGGGATATCTCCTATGGCAGGTACTTTGGTTATACGGCCTCTGAATGAAAGATTTGTAAAGCCGCCACCAGTTTATAGCCTAAGACTGCTAAGGGTCGTTACTAGAGGATAGTAGATAAAACTGTGTTGACAGTTAAGTCCCCTAGATGTATTGCTACCAAGGGTAAAAATCAAGCGGTTTTCAAGAGACTTGCGGACATTGTCGCCGAGTGACTACATTTAATGGCTGTCATGCCACGGACACCCTGGTCATCCTCAAAAATGAATTACAGCGGTACTGGTTTGTGAGCCCCGTTCTGTATGTGCAACTGATGTTGTTTGATCCTATCTGCGAGACGTAGCCGCCATTCACCGATGTCAGTATGTTCATATTAACGGGACCGGGACATAATTCGAAGGCATGATTATTGCAAATATTGACATCCGTATTCGGGGTTAAGGTTTATGACGAAAATAGAAAGGTAGATAATACACTAGAGAACAGAGAACTTGTCACACGGGATACATCTTTCTTTTTGTCCGAGGTGATAAAGGCGTGAAAGGCAATGAGAGAGCGGACGCCCTGGCTGGCAGTGCAGCTATCAAGAAAGAGAGACATCCTTAATGTGACGAGAGAGAGAGAGAGAGAGAGAGAGAGAGAGAGAGAGAGAGAGTCAACTCTGTGAGGCTTTCAATTTCGTGGAAAATGATTTTTCACTGAATAGACTGCATACCATGTGTGTACCAAGTGGAGCGGCGAAACAAGAAAACTATGCGGGAACAACATGCCGCTACATCAGCCACAACTGAGCTGTGGTTGTTAGATTAAAAATACATAGAGGCATTTAACTACGGTCGTGTCCGATGTGCAATGAAATTATCTTTATATGTACGATGAAAAATAAACACTTCAACAAAGACACGGTTGGCAAACGAAATTATAGATATTAGAAATCAATGAACAGCAGAGGACACAAATGACAGTTGAAAGAAATGCGGGAAAAAAATGCCCTAAACAAAAGAAAAGAGGTGGTCACAAAAAGGTAGTCCATAAAGAAGTAACTGAAAGATTACACAGTAGACAACAGAATAAATAAACTGATAGAGAAACACACTCTAGATTAAACCAAAGCAGTAACTCTAGATTAGACCGAAGCAGTCACGCTAGATTAGACCGAAGCAGTCACGCTAGATTAGAAGACCAAAGCAGTCACGCTAGATTAGAAGACCAAAGCAGTCACGCTAGATTAGGCAAAAACAGTTAATAAGCGGCGTTGGCAGACACCACAGTAATATAACATGGAGCCACCTTGTCACCTCCAAGTGACATGCTGAGTTATTTGCTCATCAGATGAATCAGAAAGCCGTGAAACCCGGCACAAGAATGTTATCATACTATGGACAGACCAGAGCAGGTCAGTGTTCTACGCTCCCCGTGTGAGTCCGGGGCCCTATAATAGGAAAAACAAGAATAGACCCACTGCCTACCCAAAGCATGTCGTAAGAGTCGACTAATTAGGAGCTTCCTTTGAAGTTGGAGTGAATATGCCTGAGAGGCAAGGAACCAGCAGTCTGCATACAAATGAGTCAGATATGTAAAACGGATGCATATGCAACACTCAGGTTTTGGAACAGGACTGCAGTCCAAAAGTGGATGAACAACCAGAACTTTCCGCCAGAGTTTACAGCTGAAGATTATTCCACACCTTAGAACATGACACATGTACACATAATTTAAGACTGGGGAGTCAACCATGAGCACATGTGGATTGGCACCTGAGACAACAGACCACATCCCCCAAGACTGTCCCAAATACAACATATCAAGGCAAAAACTCCTGGCCAAGAGAAACGGACATGGAGTGCGTGCGAGACTTATTTAACTAGGCACAAAAATAATACGAGTAAAACAACGACAACAAAAAATATCATTATGATTTTTCCACATCTAAGCAGGGTTTGAGCGTACGCACACACACACACACACACACACACACACACACACACACACACACACACACAGACCCTAGAAAATTATGGGGCGCATGTCTTGTCTAACTGTGCAATAATAATAAATATGATAAATATGCTGAATGGATTATACAAATAATGTATCTGAAATAACATTTAATACACAATGTAAAGCTTTAAAAATAGAAAAGTGTCTTTGGTGAAAAGGGGGTGGAGGGTGCCTCTGCTCCTAAAATATAGTGGGTGGGGAAGCATCAAGGGCTCTCGCCTTGTTTAATTTTGCAATTATAGTAATTATTATAATGATATGCTGAACAACCAAAAATTAATTGTTGAAAAGAAAACTACAAATATCAATGAACTGTTTCCTGTGGATAGAGGAGAAGAGAGATCATTGTTGTGGAACCTAGACAGAGAAATAAACAAGTTGCAGTGAATCAAGGGCTTGGCGGAGAGAAAGAGATGATTGTTGTGGAACCTAGACAGAGAAATAAACAAGTTGCAGTGAATCAAGGGCTGGGGAGAGAAGATTCATTGTTCGTGGAACCCTAGATCAAGTTGTGAAAAGTGGAAGGAAGAGATCATTGTTGTGGACCTAGACAGAGAAATAAACAAGTTGCAGTGAATCAAGGGCTGGGGGAGATAGAAGAGATCATTGTTGTGGAACCTAGACAGAGAAATAACAAGTTGGCAGTGAATCAAGGGCTGGGGGGACGGACGACTGAGGTGAGACACGCGTGGTGGTCAAAGGACTGTTTGACAACTTGTCACGAATCAGGTTGAGCTGTGTGAAGCTTTTCAAAGACGGTAACATCAGGTAGCAGCAAAGGCAACAGGGCAAACAAGGGCAGCAGCAACAGTAGGCCCTGCCGCGCAGCAGCAGCAGTAGTAGTAACAGCAGTAGTGGTGGTGACGTTGGATGGTGTGGTAGAGGTAATATGGAAGATGGTGTGATGATGATAAAGTCGATCAACTTACCTTGTTTTAATTTGTCGGTAACGGCTTTAGTTTTGTTATAACATGGCCCTAGGGCAGAGATTTTTGTATCTTTTGCAAAAAAAGCCTGTAAATTATCTGCAAAGATTTTTCTTTATACAGTAAAATTATCGCTTGGAATTCTGGCACTATCAATGAAACTTTGCGTCTTAGCTGATGAAATTGAAACTAACGTTTTTTACTTTCTGAGAACTTTAACTTTCAGCTAAGCCCTAACACTAACTGCTCTGGCGGTCCTGACACAAAGCCCTGAAGACACAGAAATCAAAGAGGAGCAACAATTTATACCAGCACCGTTCTACTGACGTCAATGCAAGGGAATGAGGTTTCCCCTGCTGGGTAAGTCTTGGACATGGCGGTTCTGCCATATGAGACAGGGCATAATTCAGGAAGCACCGCTGGCAACCCTGCGGGTGACGGTCATGGCGCGTTCTGTCGGGTGTTCACAGCCACCAGAACCTTCTCTGAATGAGTTGGGATTATTATTTAGCCAGAATATTCCTGGTTGTGAAAGGGATGAGATAATTTAAACAGAGAGGGAGGAAAAAAAGGGGGAAGTCAATTCAAGCAAAATTGTGAATGAATCAATAACAATATGTCTACTGGAAAAGTGCTGTAGTCAGCATTGTAAAAATATATAAATAAGCTCTCATAGTGTTTGGCGCAAATGTTTTGTGAGAACGCGCTGACTGTGTGGCAAACAGGTCCCGGTAGAGTTTTGTACTTTGTGCCCGCAGCCCTCTCATTTCAAGATTTTTCTGTTATGGCGTCTGTCGGATCTTGTCAACTACAGATGAGTTTAAACATAGACAAAACAAAATAAAAAAATAATGCACCACACAGCACGCACGCACACATCACGACAAGTGAGACAGTCCCATAAGAGCGCTTTTTCCAATTTCAAACAACCAGGGAAGAGTTTCCCAGTTCTCGATAAACCCAGTAGCAGTCTGAATTGTATGTCCCTCTCGCCTTTCCTCTGGGAGTTGAGGCGTTGACTACATCCCAGGACCAATCCTCCGCCATAGGCGCCTGAACCTCAGGTCCCTTTAAAGTCCCCCCCCCCCCCCCCCGTACCTAATTATTGTGTAGTGGACCAAGAGCTCACTTTAACACTTTTTAGAAAGTCTCTGAGCAGCGGCTGTCAGAACGGTTGTAACGCTGCGCTCTCAAGAAGGAGACATGAGTTCAAATCCTCGGTAACGCTGGGGATTTTTTTCTGTCAGGGGCAAAAATAAGATTGCTCACCCTGGCACAGTCCATGGCGACAGCACTAGCCATGCGACAGTAAACCCCTCAAGCTCACAGAACACGCTAACCTACAGCGCTACAGTTTGTACGGCAGTCGTTGGCAGTTTGTGTGTGTGTGTGTGGGTGGGGAGGGGGGGGGGGGGGTGGGAGTCTATTTCTTTATGTAATTTTATTTTAGCTTTTTGTATTTTGTGTTGAAGTAATACTTATATTAATAAAGTCATATTCTCATGGATAAGTAATCATAAAATAATAATAATAATAATAAAATAATAATATAATGTAAATTGGTGCAACAAATAAATTTAAAATATACTTGTTATACATAGAGCGGGAATATATAATCAAGACTAAAGTAATAATAATAATAATAATTTTTTTCGGGAGCACCCCTAACCTCCCCTAACAATATGAGTTAAAAAAAAGTATAATACCTTTTCACGCATTTATGCGTATTGGGCGCATAGGGCTAGACCTATTCTTTGTATAGACCAATCGTCAGGTCAACGTTCACGACGGTCTCCTATCATTTCCGTGCAGTATTTGCCACATTTGATTTTCAAAAGAAAAGTAAGTAATTACACTTTCAACCACGCCACGGGCGTCCTTTGGGTCTTGTGATAGGG